TCTGTGAAATAAGGGCCTGGACTGGAATCTCTCTTTTTTTTTCAAGAGAAACTTCTTTGGCTATTTCTGATTTTATTCTATCTGTTGATGCTTCATTTTTTTTTTTTTAACAGAAGGCAAATTTCAGGTTTATTTAAAAAACACATAGGTAACCAACCAGTCAGAGCTTTGGCTAGGAATGATTTGGAAAGGAGCTAAGACAGTATTCCACAAAACCTTCACAGTTATGTGCTACAGACAGACAGAGCAGAGGCATGTTTTAGAAATATTTGCGGTAGACAATAGAGGGCCCGGCTTCATCATATTCCTGTTTGCTGATCCACATCTGCTGGAAGGTGGACAACGAAGCCAAGATGGAGCCGCCGATCCAGACAGAGTATTTGCGCTCAGGAGGGAAAATGATCATCTCTTGACGTTGTCTTCTCTGCCTCCATCCCAGGCTTCACTGCCTCTCTGGGTAGGATTCCGCTCTTCTGGAATATCTCTTAAGGTTTCTCATGAGGATCTTGGAATTAGGAACATTTAAAAATTACTTACTGTTTGCAGTGTACACCAAAGTCTTCTATTTTATTAAGTGGGATAGTCTGGTACTCAGAAGGCCCTTCATCAGGTGGCTTGTATCCCTAAATAAACAAAAAAAATCTCAGAAGATTAAAAATATACATTTTTTTTCTGTCATTTTCTATGTATCCCAAAGCAAACCAATTTCACTGCCATTGAGTTGATGGTGACTCACAGTGACCCTATAGGACCCCTGGTTGGTGTGGCACTGTAAGATCAGTACTGGACTATGAACCACAAGGTTGGCAATTCAAATCCATCAGCCGCTCCTTGGTAACCATATACAGGGTCACTGAGTTGGAATTTACTCAACAGCACGTACCACCACCACCAAGGATGGAGAACTGCTCCATTGGATTTCTGAGGTAATAACTCTTTCTAGAAGCAAACTGCCTCATCTGTCTCGCTCAGAGTTTTCTTTGTTATGTTAATCACACCACATCAGGTTAGGGTGTGTAATAAATCTAACCGCTTCTGAGTCAGGGAGCAGACTGGCCAAAGAAGGAGTCCTGGTGTGGTGCTGTAGGATGAGCACTAGACTGCTAACCTCAAGGTCAGTGGTTCAAACCCACCAGACGCTCCTCAGAAATCCTATACAGGATCAACTTGATGGTACTTACCAACAGCAATAGACAGAGAAAATTTTCAAAATATCTTAGCAAAGAACTATCTTAAACTAGAAAAAAATATTTTTAAATGCATCAGTATGCAACTCACATTATAAGTTCTTTGTTAAAAGGTTCTTTTTGTGATTAAATTACTAAATACAGACACAGACCCCAATGATTCATGTATGTTAATTAATATACGTTTCGGAAATGAAACTGTTGTTTTAGCAATTCAAATTTGAACTGCCTGACAAGTTCAAAAATAAAGGATGCTTTAAGAGATTGAGTGATAAACTAGAATGCTATTACCTCGCTTAAAAATGAAGTTGGAATATGCACTTACAGCTGTGTCTGAGTGGTACAAACCATTATGCACTCAATTACTAATGGAAAGATCAGCAGTTTGAACCCACCCAGCAGTACCTCAGAAGGAGGGACTGGAGCTCTACTTCAAAAAGGTCGAAACCTTGAAAACCCTGCAGAGTGGTTCTACTCTGTACACATGGGATCACCCAGAGCCAGAATTCACTCAATGGCAACTAACACCACACAAATGCAAACTAGTGTGCAAAATACACAGCTGAAATCAGTTAATTAGAAAGAGGATGATTGCTCTGTACTCCCCCACAAGTCCATTTGGTGATTATAGGCTAGATTAGGCTAACAGATTCATCGTTTCTGTCCTTAGGCAATGTAGTTTTGTGTTACTATTTATTTCAGATCCATGCTTTCTTCATTTAGATTGTTGCTTTCTCTATTACCTGTCAGAATGCTGTGAATACACAGGTACATATTAATAAATATAGAAAGCTTTTCTAGCAAATATAATATGGTCATCTAATAGGAACAAATTACAGTAGTTTAACTGGTATTTTATAAAGAGTATTGTTTAAGGACAGAGAGTGATACCAATTATAACATGTCTTCAAAAGAAATCAAATATTTTAGATTCCAAAAAATTATAAGTACTTATAATTTTCAAAATTACCTTTGGATATGTCCTAAAGGCGCCAAGATTCACTTTCCCTGCAGATATTGTTCTTGTTGGATCAATCTATAATAAGGATATTTAGTATATGCTGATTATAAAATTATGATGTGTCTCAATTGATATAAACGTATAAACCTGGCAATAACTATGACATATAACGTGACATACACACAATAAATTTATCATTCATGGTTGTTATGTTCCATAACACAGAACACTGAATTAGCAAATATCAAACCAGCCTTTTTGAGCTTAGCTGGAGACTTAAACATCATGTGGCTCGAGGTATATACTATGCTCATGTCTGTGAATCATCGTGAAAGTGCTCAGAGTACTGATTTTCAGGTTTCAAATCCATATTAGCCAGTAGATGAAATAGCTTGTGGGCACACACACACATGCCTGCAAATTATCCTAAGAGCACTCTATTGATTTGCAGGTTACAAACAAATTCTAGCCAGTAGATAAATCAGGAAATATGGACTATGTGAATAATGCTCTATACACACACATACACATACTCTCTATGATTTAATTTAACCAAATGATAAAAAAGCTACACAAAACCATAAAAACAGTAAATTTCAGTAAGATTGGAGAAGAAAAATAAATGCCTTATGGTTAATTTTAAGATTAAATTTACAACTATACCATTTAGGAATATTATTTAAATTTACTCATTGTTTTTATTTTCTTTCAAGTTTTTATTGTGACTTGAGTGACAGTTTACATGGGAGGACATCGGTTTTACACTCATCATTTTATTGCAATGATTACAATCTTCTCTGTGCATTATCATTCAACAGTAATTGCTTCTATTCCCTCTGGGTTTTTTAGGTTTTTTTTTTTGGTGGGGGGATGTACACAAAAACATTCAAGAATATATAATCATTTAAACAAAGGGCACATTCTGCAAGCCTGCCTCCTGGCCACCAGCACACAGCCTTGCTTTTTCCATGTGTCTAAAGTCCTCAACTGCTCTATCTCTCCATGTCCTCATCTCTGGTGTCACTGCTTCTTTGGATAGGGTCCCATATTTCGCTCATGCTCTTCACCCTTGATGGTCCTACTGTCCTCTGTTCCTGGACTGTAAGATTAACTACTCCCTCTTTTTGTTACAAAACTTCTACCTTCGCAGTTGTGACAGTAGCAATTAGTCATGATAACAATTACTCATAAGTGAATCATAAGACTCTTATTCCCATCTCCTTTCACCAGATCCGTCTAGACAAGATGAAATCTATTCAGTGGGGGTTCTACCTTTCCTCACACACTCTGAAACTACTCCCTCTTGAAAACTTGTAAACCAGTCACTTCGAGCCTTTACCATTTCTCATTTTAGGTAGCCAATGTCTAAATTGCTTGTTACTATCAACCCTGTATACTGAGGTGATAGGCTTGATCCTTGATATGAAGACTCCTTCTCTCTCAGTTGGTATTTTGAGTTACTACATTCACAAGTATAGGTCAAGTTCATCAAATTGTAGTGATTTCCGCTTGTTTCCTTTATCAAAAATTTTTTTTCTTTTTATGTTCCTCTAGTTGAGTTCTGATCATCAAGCCATCGAAACTATGTCAAATGGGTACTATCTAAAAGTTTGGGTGTTCTTGTGTGTTTCCCCTCACTTCATATCAGCTGGATGTTTTGCTCTCAGCTCTAGCCTTCTGTGGCTATGTCCTTGTCCATAGGCTCAGATGTCCCCAGGACTCACCACACTTCAAACCAACCAGAACTTCTTCTTCTCTCTCGTCTCCAGGTCAATGGGAGTCTACGGAACATGACTGAACTCAGCCATATCTTTATTGCTGCCTTCCCCCATCTTCCATTCACCAGTAGACCCATGTGGTTGCTAGCAAGCTTACATGCCTGCTCATGTGTTCCCTTTGAGTTTCAGTCTTGGTGGGCGGTTTGTCCTGAAGGGACTTCATTGCTTGCCTTGATAGCTCCCCGGCGAACAACTTACTTGTTCTCATAATAGCCAATCAGACAGCCATTTTAAAAAACTTTTTTTTATTTCCTTATCATTAAGTTTTCCTTTAACAGAAGAACAATTTCTACCATCCTTGTAAAAACTTGGATTGCATCTGAAGAGTTGGTCTAGCAATTCCTGACTACTCAATCAGTCAACAATGATGGGCTGATTGCAATGTGCTAGGCACTGAGAGGTGGGTGCTCGGATTACTCTGATTTAAGACTCTAGGAGGTTAAGGACTTGCTCAAAGTCCCAAGTACTAAGAGGCAGAGTTTGGATACAAATGCAGGCAGATTGACACCAGTCTTGCTCTTAGGCACACTGATATGATTTTTTAAAATATTTGTTTGGAGAAATCTTCATAAAGAACTTGTTAAAACTAGCTGCGAAATACTTACTACAACTGCTACGAATGGTTCCTGGAACTGCTGGTTGAGCATCTGAGTACTAACATCAATCCCAGAGAGCCAGCAGCCATAGCCAGGGTGGCTGTGATACCAACCAATTGCATTTTCGAGGCGGCCAACCTAACAAATGAAAAGGACAAAGGAATATGAGATTCCTGTTTAATCTTACTTGTTGGCTTGTTGTTATTGTTAAGTGCTGCTGAATTGGTTCTGATTCATAGTGACCCTGTATAGGGTTTCTGACGCTATATTATCTTTGAAGGTGCAGAAAGCCTCATCTTTCTTCCACATTCAAACCACCAACCTTGTGTTTGCAGTCCAGTACTTATCATATAGAGCTACCACGCTTGGTTTATATATTATTATGTAGTATAGTAAAATAAGAGGTACATTACTTATGAATTCATAAAATAAGCATTTAATTGTTGTTGTTGTTGTTAAGTGTCTTCATGTCAGTTCCGACTTACAGTGACTCTGTATAGGGTTTCCGAGGAGTGGCTGGTGAGTTTGAACCGCTAACCATGCAGTTCAAACCAGCTTTGCAGTTTAGTGCATTATCACGCAGCACCACACCAAGACTCCATGCATTTGGCTGTATATATAAAATAATAGCATAAAATGTGCTGCTTTCAAATTAAAATTTTTTCTTTTTCTTGAGCAGATAACACAGGAACAAGGCACGGAATTAACTGGGTACCAGTAAAATAAGGGTAGATAGTCTCTTTTTGATCTGTTTCCCTTCAACTACCCAGTTTCGAGGCTAGACATTACGACTATAGCCAATTGCTTACATATCCTTTCAAATATACTTTTACATATGTATAATTTTGAAACCCACATATAATGTCATTATCTTTAAGTGCTGTTGAGTCGATTCCGATCCATAGCAATCCTGTGTAGGGTTTTCAAGGAGCAGCTGGTGAGCTTGAACTGCCGACCTTGCAGTTCAAATGGCATTGCAATCTGGTGCACTAACCCACAGTGCCACACTGGGGCTCCACACATATAATAGCATACCACATATAGTACTCTACTCTTTGCTTTTTCACTCAACAAAATATTCTGAAATTTGTTCCATATATAAATATAGAAATAGTTACCTTATTTTTTTTAAGTGCTATCAGGAGTTCTGGTGTGGCACTGTGGGTTAATGTGCTTGTGACTGCAAAGTTGGTTTGAACCGCAAGGTTGATGGTTCAAGCTCACCACTCGCTCCTCAGAAACCCTATACAGTGTCGCTATGGGTCAAAACCGATTCAACAGCACTTAATAACATCAGTCCATTGTATGAATGTATCATAATTTATTTAACCAGTTTTATAGGCAGGAATATTTAGGTTGATTTCAAACTTATGATTTTAAACACATATCTGGTTATTAGGGAAAATATTTACTAGAAATTATTAAAATTTGTTAGGAAAACCTCCCGCCAAGCCCCAAACAATAATCCACACTATATATCTTATCAAGCTTTTAGTCTCATATATATTTTTACATATGAGGGAGTTTCAAAACGTTTGTGGAAAAGTGGAATGGAAAG